TACATAATACAACACTGTCACTCAATAGTGAAGATGGTGGTCGGACTTATCCCATAATTCGCACAGAGCCTCAATCATCTTTGTAATTGGCCCACTGGAAAATAGACTAGAAAATACATATATCAAAAAATACTAGAAACAGAATGTAGGAAAAAAAAAAAAACATTTAAAATCCACTGTCATTAATAATTTGAAAGATCTAAGATCCTTTATCTACATGATACAAGGAAAAAATCTTTTTAAAAAAAGAACATGTAGAGAACCAGAAATTTTTTAAAATCTTGAAAATTAAAATTATCAATAAATGAAAATCTTGGAAGATAAGTGAAATCAAGTAAGTGGACGTAAACAGTCACAGAATATAAAATTAAGAAAATTTTCAAGAGAGTTGAGAAAAAAATGCAAAGGGATAACAAAAGTGGAACTATAAGACCATTAGAACATAATTCCAAGAATTCTAGCATCCAAATAAGGAAAGCCCTAAAAAGACAGAAGAGAAGAAAACGAAGGGGAGTAAATAAAGAAACAACTTAAGAAAATTTCCCTGAGAAAAAAAATGAGTTTTCAGATTGAAAAGTCATGCTAAAGGGACTAAAGTGGGCTCATACTTTAGGCAGATAATTGGGAAATTTTAGAACACTGTGGAAAACCAGCATATTCTAAAACCTGGAAGGAGAGAAATGCTTCATACAAGGGATTGAAACTCAGAATGGGATTAAACATCTTAATAGCAACATTGGCAACTAGGAAAAAAGGTAACAATGTCACTGAAATTCAGGAGGAAAGAAATTTCTACACTAGGCCAAACTATTAACATTAATTACAAGGAAAAGATTAAGGATCTTCAAAATTTACTGCCATATTTTCTTTCTCAGAAACTCCTAGAAAATGTGCTGCACTAAAAAGAATAAACTAAGGAAGATGAAAGCCTGTGCTCCATGAAAAGGAATATGAGGAAAGGAATCCTCCAGGATGATGACACAAGGAGATCCCAAGACAAAAGCTGCAGAGTAGAATTAAATTTACATAATGGAGCAGGTCAGAATGTTTTGGGAGAAATTTCCTCAAGAAGATAAAATTGTTCAAATATTAATGTGTTTGATGAACTAATAGGAAAGGATTTCTAACTGGGAAAGACACTGTGGCTGAATTAATTATAAGTATACATATGAAGAAGCGAAGAAAAACACAGTTATTAACCCTATGGGGGAAAATGTTATGAAGGGTGAGAAAAAGGACCAAAATACATGGGCTCAATTCTGATAGCACTGATGAAAACACTGGCAACTGAATAAAAAAATGTAACAATATTGGAAATTTAGGGTAGGCAGTGTGGTGGAGGTATATGGTTGGTAGCAGGAGTTGAAATTGAACTAGATCTTTACCGTGGTAAAAAGCAAACAGATAATGTCCCCCAATGGAAAATCAAGAAGACACATGATAAAAATGGCTAAAGATTTGCATATGAATAACAACTGCATCACCCGGAGAGCAGGGACTACTCTTGTTTGTGGATTTAATTTAAGGAAAAACTCGCTCAACAGCCTCTCAGAGAATCAGTTTCTTCAAGTGTAAAATGGGGATAATCTCTACCATGCAGAATCACTGTAAAGACTCAAATAATGCGTGTAAATCACCATGTAAGTGATTGGCGCAGGGAGCCGGGAAAGAATAAGAGACAGCTCAGGATGGGATTCGTAATAAGCAGTGAGGAGCTAATGTGCCTTAGCCTTACCATATATGCTGTTTACAGATAGCACCCATTGTCATGTGCAGCCCAAATATTCTGAAACAGCCATGACTTCAAGGCAAATTTTTAGGTTAAAAACAAAAATCAGTATGCAGAAAAAAAAAATTCTACTTACTGAATGACGAGGTGCACGTTCTTTGAACTCCACTAGGCAGAAGCTTCGGCAACTTGGCTTTTTAAAATTACTTCTGCGAGGTACCAGGGCATTGGACACATTACATATCACAGAACTCATCTGATGCCAAATTGGGAACATGTTCTTTTAAGGAACATTTTTAGGAAAGGGAACTCAATACTTTTTAAAAAAGGTGATTTGATATTTAAACAAAATTTGGAAAATTCTGTATTTGTCTGCTTGACTTACTACGGCTTTTGAAACACAAGGACAGGATGGTTATGAAGATTCCTTTAAGAAATGCAGGTCTTAAATAGTCTTGCATTAGTATGTGCAGGTTCTATGTTACTGAAGCATCTCACCAGGAAAGGATAACAACAAAAAAGTAACCCTTAAGGAATGAGTGGTGATGGATTGAATCATCTTTTAGGAGTTCAGAGTCTCATGATAAACAAACTGAAGCAAGGACTAAGAGTAATTCTCTGTTGGAAAGTGGAAAAATGATGAAAACACTGTAAAGATGAAACCCAATCATGTTTTGAAAGTTTAATATGGTTTTTATAAAACTGAACTTGCAGTACCGAATACATGAATTTATATTTTTGTACCCTAAATGACCTTGCACATTTAAATAATGAATTGCATGCCAGAAAATGCAATTAGCTTGATTCTAATTTGAATACTATGTACAATGTAATTCAAGCACAAATTCTGAAGTAGAGCCCACAGAGGTGCTGTGCAGTCAAGCTGAACTCTCTTCATAGTGTGGAATTGTAGAAATTGGTCATAACACAGATAGAATACAAGCCACCTTCTCCATAATCTCATTCTTTCTCCAACAGAAATAACCCATTTTTGCCCCATCCTCTCTAGACAAATAGGCTCTTCAGTACTGAGACAACTAAATACATTTCTTAGTATTTAAAGCTATATATGGATGAATTTAAAACCAATAAGAATTTTTCAGAAATAACTAGTGATAAAATATTCTCCCTTTTAATTTATATATATTTACAAAACTATTCACATATTGCTGAGAAGAATATTTCAATTGAAGATAGGCATTATCAAAATAATCATATTTCTTTTATTCACATCATTTGGATAAATAGAATGAAATATTTTACCATGACAGGAGCTATACCATGAAAATCCCACAAATGGGACAAGTTTCCAGTTGTTAAGCAGAGTTATTCAGTTCAATGAACATATTACATTTTGCTTTCCAATAGTCACCACATTGGTGGGCTGACAATTATCCTGACTTCAGCTGACTTTTATTCTCTTTGATTTGAGCTCTTATAACTTCCTGAAATGGAAATACCAGAGATTTATGTTTTATTCAGTCAATAAAATTCATAACTTTTCACTGCTGAGAAAACATGTCATATACAGATTGAACAAATGTTATATGAAATCACTTTGATAAGAAGTCCTGCAGGCTGAGATATATGAAATGGAGATGATCTTTCTTGGAATGATCAGTGTCAAAAAAATCAGCAAAAAGAGAAGAAAAAGCAATTCTTTATTTTTATCCAAATATATCAGACTTCATAATTTAGTTAGTTTCAACAAAAACATAGAGTCACCATATAATGTATCATCCAAACTAGGACATTCTAAGAGTGAAAGGGGGTGCCATTATTAATTACACAGGTACGACAGGTATAAACTGGAACTTTCCAGGGTAAACTGGGACCTCTGATCAACTTAGCAATACGGGGTAAACTGCAATTACATGCAGAATTCGTACCTTTCCCATACACATGTGGAAAAGATAAAGGAATAGCATCACTGAGAAAAATTAATTTTGGCAAGAGTGGTTCTTTCTCATTATTCATTACTCAGATGTCTGTTGAAATATCACTCCCTCCCTAAGCCGGTCACCTCCTCTAAAATAATCAATTCTTATTCCACCCAGTCATTTTCCATTTTGATGTCCTATCTTTCTTATCTTAAACTGATATTTTGAGTATCTGAAATGATCTCATTTGTGTTCTGTCTCCACAGGGCCCCTTCCCACTCTCCTACCAATATGCAGTGTTCAAATGGGCACCAACCTCCTCTGACTTAGTCATAGCCAAATCTCCAGGACCTAAAACTGCCTAGGACATAAGAGTCATGCAAAAATTTTGTTGAATGAATGAGCGAATACATTCAGAGTTTTTGTTTTTGGTCCCATACTCTCCTTGGTACCAAAGACAAATTAGAATGACTCCTCAAATTAAATTATGGCTCTATTTAGTTTTAAGTGTTTGGACTAAATGATCCATGGAGTTTCTTCCACTGATAATAAATATCTCATGTCCCCTAGACCCACTTCTCTCTCTGCTACAATTTCATTTTCTATAAGCAGCAAATGGGATCAAGGGGTAGAGCGACTAGCTCTATTCACAGTGGATGAATGCTCTAGGTTGATCATTTTGCCAGTAACTGTTCCCTGGGATATGTTCGCACCTACAGAATTTGGTTGATACAGAGGTAGCCAGAAGGTATTATTGTAGTTATGATAGAATTGTTGATGTAATAATTTTCCACTAAGAAAATCATCACAGGATTGCTAAAAAGTGGGAAACGACAGGACCCCAAACCAGCCATTAAGGATTTAAATATTAAGAAGGAGAAATAGCTTAATTCTGGACAGACTTACAATGCAATGCCCAAAGAAATTTTATAGGAAAATCCATGATATTTTGATAAGGAGCACTTATATAAATTTTCATAAAAATCTCTGCATTCCAAATCTTTATTTTGTAGGTGTTCTTCTGAGCAATAGTTTTTATTTCCCCTAACGAGTAATAAATATCAGACCTTGGGGTTAGAAAAAGAGTAGGGTTAAAATCACTTTGGTAGGCCAGGGATCCAAGACACCAATAAAATCAGTGTTTACCAAACACACAAGCAAACAAAAAAGCCCACAGGGGTAAAATATTTTCAATTCATCTAATTTAAAATTTTCTCAGGTATATACACAACATTCTTCCCGAATAGAGTGACAGACACGGGTAGGATAGTTTCCCCAGATGCGGAAAAAGTCTTGTCCTTATACAGTAAATGCCACGAACAAGAGAACAGCATTAAAAAAGAGACTCATTTAGACATACATATTTTAAGCATAAATATTTATCATTGTATTGTATCTCCTCAAGAATAAATTATTGGTTTTTAAAATGACAGAAATTCCAGAAACAGAGTGGAAATGTTACCAATTGACTCACTTTGAAACAGGGACCACTCATTATGTAATTTCAGGCAGATTCTGATATATTCAATGTAAGTTGGCTACTGATGATTACAATGATTCAGCATTTGCTCAGAGCTCATGTTTGTGTTAGATCATTTACAAAACAGATTTTCAGACTTCAAGTAGTCCAGAAAAGGACCAATTCTCAAATTAACCAATTTTCCCCTAGAACTACCAACCTTCAAAAATCATAAGAAATTTTTAGCATATTGGTATGTTCTAAAATTTACAAGTTAAATATATAATGGTTATATTTATGCAGGGCCATAAATAGCATAGACTTATGTGACTCCCTCATATAAAGTACAATTGATAACCTCCCAGGACCTTAAACAGCAAGAAAACATTAAATCAGATTTTAAAATGACAAATAATTTAAGGCTAAAATATTTGGTATTAATAATTAATGCCAGAAGCCTTCCTAGCCTAATAAAGTAAACATGCACAAGAACTACAAGTTTGAACAAAACATCACAATTTTATCGGATATATGTGTATGTATGTATGTGTGTGTATGTGTGTGTATACATATACACACACACACACATATATATAGTTTTATCGCCCTGAAAGCTATCCACTCATGTTTGGCTTAATACATATGTTAGAAATGTCGTGAAGAGTACCACCTCTTTAAATATATATATATATTTTTTCCAGAATATACAATATAAATATACCATATATAAATCATGCCATAAAACTAAATGCAAAATTTGCACATTATTGCATGCTTGATGTGATAATACATGCCCGTTAATAAGAACTTTCTTAAGATGCCCTCCCTTCACACAACTTTTGCTTTCTGCACAGTGGCAATACTTGGGAAGAAAGGGTTCTCAAATATGCATATATGACTGGGGGTAAAATGTACCTTTCGGATTCCTTCGAGAATTACCTCATCAGCCAAATATTGGACTATTACTAAATCATACAGTAAATAATGCCTACGGGAGTGTTTTGTTATGTGAACCGATCAGAGTTCATTTTTCTTAATTTGGCTGGGAGATTCCCTTCCATCCTGGCTGCTCCTCCTGCTATCTTTTGAAGCTTTGGTGGCAAATCGGCCACTGACTGGCTCATGGGGTCAGACAACATCTTGGTGGTTTTAGATACCAGTTTTTCTTCTGAGTTGCCAGGAACCGAACTTATTCGTTGAAGTTTCATGGGCAAATCTCCCAAGCTGTAGGCTTTTTCTGAAGTTGTGGAACTCATCCTCAAGAGTTTTTTGGGAAAGTCTTCTCTTCCGGTAATTTTCTGCAGCTTTGATGGAAGTTTTGTAGTAATGTCATCTAGTCCATCTAAGCATTCCACAGAGTTATGTCTTTCTTTGCTGTTAGTTATGGCTGGTGCTATTAAAGGGGATGACATAAGAAGCATCTCCTCCTGTTCTTTCACACTATAAGGTGGGGTGGGTACTTCAAATGTCGCATGGAACTGGGAGTAATCAACTTTAAAGAACCCTTCTTCTAAGGAAATCACAGGAAAGAAACGATGACCCCAAAGAACTTCATCTTCAGTGTAAGATGTTCGAGCTTGACAAGTCATCCCTACAAGCAAAAAGAAAATCTTTGATAAATTATACATAATAGAAGGAAATAGAAAGTCAGTTTGACCAAAGGAATTCATTTGCTTTCTTATTTAATCTTTGAACTCTTTATCTAAGTAGACTAAGTAAAAGAATATGTTAAAAGTTTTCATGTCAATGGTTTTGTTACATAAACTTTCTTCCAATGAAAAACATGGAATTTTTGCTGTAATGTTTCGAGGGCGGTAGATCAATGCATGATTAATTGCCTTTCATCCACAAACCAAAAGTAAAAATGGCACAGACCAATTTCATAACATACGTAGGTCTAGAAGAAGTGGAGAAATCACAAAATCATTTTCCTTTGTTCACAAAGCCATGTGAGATATGAAACAAACCTGACTTTGCATCCAAATGTTAGCACTGTGTAAACTTAAGAAATCTTGACACTTTACTGAGTATCACTTCCCTATTCTGTAAGGCATGAAAATACCTGCATCCCAGGACTGATGTAAGCATGAGATCCAATAACGTACAAAAATGTAAAATGTGTCATAGAATGTCTTCTTAAAGGAGAGCAAATATAACTATCGCAAGTATTTGCTTAATGAATAAAAGTTGAAAATATTTTTATATCGGATAATGGAAGGTCATTGCGGTGGTTCTATTTGTCTGGACCTTTAAGGCCAGGATGAACTTTTGCTAAAGTCTTAGAAATCCATACGCTAAAATCAGTAATCTGAGCCAACGTGTTGTTTCTGATTTTATTCCTGCTATAGGGATCTCTGAGACTGTATGCTGGATATCAGATCAAAAGTTTTGCTATTTACATGTTATGTTACTTGGATATCATTTGCTTCATGCTACTCTTTTTTACCCAACCATATTCTCTTCATAAATTTGTGAGTTAGAGTGAATTACTATTAAAGCAGTTCACCTCTGATATTCGTTAGAGATGTGAACACTGGAAGTAAATGAATACACTTTACACATATTATACATATTACATAATCTTATTTTAGTCACAAGATATAATTTCCTGTAACTTATAAAATTCACTTTCTTCTACCTTACTATCAAACTTCTAGTAGAACCTATTAAAGCGTAAAAGGATAGACACGTTTTAAAAATGCATCTCTGTAAAACTAAATATATTTTAACCAAATGATGACAATCTTTCTGTTACATTTCTATTCTTCCTCTGTCAGTTTATAAATAATTTCTATTGTATTTAAAGCCTGGAATAGTCTGGATAAAGCGATATTCTCTCTTTTCCCCCTGACTGGTGATCACACTTACAATACCTGGAGTTAGGATAAATGCATAACTAAAAAGCACTATTGAAGACAATTTCTTCCTTGAATCTTTCCAAGATCTTGCCTTGTAACTATCAGTGATATATCACCAAGGAAGCAGTTGTTACACTTATATACCATCTTTTTCTAGATGTTTTTAAAATAACTGAGGCTGAAGATAAATGCCTATCACATCTCAGGCACTGGGTTAGGTGCTCTCTGTATATTATTTCTAATTCTCAATATCATCCTACCAAGAAAATATTCCTATGTCTAATTTAGATAAGGAATATAACGCTCAGAGAAATGATTATCTGTTGACCTCCCTTGGGCATAGATCTAGGAAGCTGTAGAGAAAATACTGTATTATTCTAATTTCTGGGGGAGTTGATTTTTCTTTTTACTTTGCCATCATGTTCTGTTATTTTAGTTAGGAACCCCATTCTAAACAAACTATCATATTAACTGTCATGGTGAAAATCTAATACTAGCCAAATACCAGTCTTCATAGTCAACATCTTATCTGGAATAGTTCCCAGAAACATTTATATATGAGATAACAAAATTAGTTTAAAAGGTAATTTGTAAGTTTTATAGACATACACACAGTAGCATCTGTCTTTTCAAATGATTTCTTAACGTCTATTTCATGAAAAAATTACGTATCAACACTAATTCAGAAAATACTCAAAAACGTATTACCTGATATATTTACTTGACTTTATTTTGAATAGTTTAAAGATCGAGCACAGTACCTAGAATAAATGACCACTATAAATGTACCTACCCATTAGGTTACAAAAATAAAATAAATAAGTACCCCATATTTCTTTAAAGAAGTAACATTTCATTTCTCTCCAAAAGCAGTTATTCTTGTAAATTCTTTATGTATCTTTCCGGTCCAGAATATTAATTTAAGTTTAAGAAAAAGATCATAAATATATATTTACTGCTAAGTGGTAGTACTTCCTTTATAACCCCACTTTAATTTTTAAATATTATTCCATTGAAAATTGATGGTGGGTAGAATTATCTGAAGTAAGGGCACACAGTCAATATAACTCAGAGCCATGTAGGTTTGTAGGTTTGTCCTTTCGTCACTATAAATGTATGTATATATTAATTGCTGAAGTAAATTCAGATCCTAACTTTGTTCAATTACTTATAACAATAAAAGAGTAAATTTTGAAACAAAATTTTATTACTATCACTATCTTAGCTCATTTCATTTTAGTGACTTTTTTACATTGGGAAAGGAAGATGAAACTAAAAATCAAAATTCTGTCCCCATTATTTGTCATTATAATATACCACATTGCTGATCTCCAATGCTTACTTCCCCTGAGTTGTTTCCCATGAAGTTACCATAAATCATGGAAAAAACACTAGAGAAATTTAAATGGTGGGGGGAAATGGAGGAAATAAAGTCTCACAAAATTTTCTCTTTGGGGAAACAGGCATTGGATTTTTAAGGTGCTTAAGGTAAATGATATCTACAATGTCAATAGGTAATTTCAAACATTTGATCACATAAGAATACCTGTAAGCACTGTTACTCAAATGCCAGTGGATGATTCTGACAGGAAAGTGTGGTGGGGAGATCTTATTCTACTATATGAAATAACTAACTTTCTTCCATAGCAAACCAATACTTGGGAGGCAGCATCTTTATAAAATTGAAAAGTATATAAATTTGGCTGTCAATTCCATTACTTAAGTAGCTTGTGAAAATTGCCTTAAACTCCCTGAGCTTCGATTATCTCTTCTACAAAGCAGAGGAGTAGTACCCTCTTATAAAGCCTTTGAGAGTTTGGGAACAAGGGCATGAAACAGTGCTTGGTATTTAGGCAATGCTTAATAATGACTGCTGAATTTACTGCTCTGTAGTGATCGTTTGCATTTCCTATTGTCCCTGAAAATTAGTGTTACTGCATCACCATAAGTGGAGAATTTTGAAATCTTAGTAATTTGTGCCATATTGGCAACACAGAAAATTAAGTTTAAAAATGGCTAGATACCAGATAGCTACTCGCTTTTTGGAAATGGTTGGTTAAATATTCAAAATGTTTTAAAATATGGAAAAACATATATTACTCATATTCCCAATTTTTATGGTTTCTTATTTTTCACTTAAGTATCTCTAATAGCTTGGGGGACTAAGTGTAGAAGCTTGGGTGTATTAAAAAGGCCTGCAGTAAGGTGACTAAAACCATGACCATACTTGAGTAATTATACCAAGAACATTTACCAGCGCTTTAACCCTCGTTTATTTTCTGCTGTTTGTTTTCCACTTTCATTAGACGTCGGTACACAAATATAAACATTTCCAGTTCAACAACATCAAAGTTTTTTAAAGTTTTATTTTCTTTTCTTAAAAGTTTTTTTTTATGTGTTTATTTGAGAGAGGAAGAGAGCACAAGCAGGGGAAGCAGGAGAGGGAGAAGCAGGCTCCACATTGAACAGGGAGCCCTATGCGGGGCTCCAGCTCAGGACCCTTGGATCATGACTTGCGCCAAAGGCAGATGCTTTATTTAATCAACTGTGCCACTCAGACACCTCTAAGATTTTTGTTTGTTTGTTTGTTTAAGTCTTTATTTACATTCCAGTTAAATAATATGTAATGTTAGTTTCTGAAGTAGAATTCTGTGATTCATCTACTTACATACCCAGTGCTCATCAGAAGTGCCCTCCTTAATCCTTAATACCCATTTAACCCATCCCTCTGCCCTCTTCCCCTCCAACAACCCTCAATTTGTTCTCCATATTTAAGAGTCTGTTTTATGCTTTGCTTCTCTTTTTACTCCCCCATGTTCATCAGTTTCATTTCTTAAATTCCACCCATAAGTGAAATCATATGGTATTCATCTTTCTTTGACTTAATTCATTTAGCAAAACACATTCTAGCTCCAGCCACATGGCTGCAAATAGCAAAATTTTGTTCTTTTTGACGGCTGAGTAATATTCCATTATATGTATATGTATGTGTTTTGTATGTATATTGGTTTTGGCCCTTGGGTCCATGCAGAGTGGGCCCTCTGTTCCTCCTGCTGCAGACCCTGAGTGGGCTGGGGTGGGAGAAAAGACTTTCCTAGGCCTGTTAGCCAGGCGCTAAGGGAAGGCCGTTGCTGGAGCCCTTGGGACTCTTCTCAACCTTCAAGGGCCTGGCCCTGTCCCTGAATCACCCCTCAGACTCCTGGCACTTGAGCCCGTCCCCACCCCTGCAGTTCCTTTCACTTTTATTTTATTTTATTTATTTATTTATTTATTTTAAACCTAGAAATCCAGGGGTGTTGGTAGGGCCAAGTTCTGTCAAGAGGCATCCAAGGGAAAGGAGGAGACAGGCTCTCAAGAATCCTTTAGTCGTGTAATGATAATAATACTAACAGTGTGAAAATGCGAGGGAGAAAACAAGGCCATTAAAACTGCTAGTGCTGTAATCCGCATTCAGGCTTCTCTTTTTATGTGACCTGGACACTGTGAACTTGATAGGCAGGCGGCAAGAGTCAAAGATGGGGAGGCCCTTCCCAGGACAAGGTGACACTGAGGCATCTTCTCATACTCTTCACCTACCCCCTAACCACTGAAAAAATATACAATCCATAAAAGACTATGTATGTATGCACGCATGTGTGCACAGCCACACACACACACACACACCCCCTCTTCTTTATCCGTTCATCAGTTGATGGACATTTGGACTCTTTCCATAATTTGGCTACTGTTGATA